TAGCGTTAAAAAAATTTAAATAAGTAAATAGTAATTTAACCCCTATATAAAAATCAAGTTAGAATCTGGTTAATTTGACTAGTAAGATCTCCATTAGGAATTTCCGATAAGTTAAAGTGGTTTAAGTGCTCGGTCCACCTTGCAGTTGAAGTGCTCCTCCTAAGGTATAAGTGATTTGGAGCTCCTTTTTTATAATCGGATACTTTGCCTGAGTATTAAGATCCGAAAGTAAATTATTTTGGGTTAATAATAAGCCGTAAAATCACCATAGACATACCTCTTTCGAGTACTATTATTCTTAGTAGATAGTATTGTTATATAGCGGTACCACTTTACCCCTCAGCAAAGCATATTGATTTCTAAGTGCATCTTGCATCTTGAAACTATATGTTTAATTAATATAAATACGCATTAGAAAAAGTTCCATAACTAAACAAATATGTCATCTAAAGATTGACTATGATAATATCCACCAACATAAACTTAATATAATTAAGATGCTGTATTCACTTTCTAATAAATTTTCTATAATCTAAAGTTATTCAATAAAATACTTCATTTAGAATAACTTACAAATTCACCCAAGTACCCTTGTTTAAATATAATTATTTATCGGATCATTGTATATAACATAAAATAAAATAAAAATATTAATATATAATTATTACCGATTGAAACAGGTGCCCCACTCTTTCTTATCTCTTATAATCTGGCACATATCACATAAGAAAGGTTTGTGTGGTGTTAGATCCGCTTGTTGCATGATTTGCAAAGCCTTTATTGAGAAAGCTGTACTAATTTCTTTTCCTCCAAAATAAATCTCAGAGCGTCCTGTCTTGTAAAGAGCATCTTTAGGCCAAGAACCATCTTCTTCCTGTAAAATTTCAAGTGATTTTTTTTCTTTACTAATGATTTCAGGCATGTGTACATGTTTAAGTAATCCTAGTCCTTCAACAATTAATATTCGCATAGCTAAATCTAAAGGATAATTAGTGGTGCCTAACCGATCTATGACATTTGCAGCAAGTAACGCGCCAAATTTTTTAAACGCAAATTTAGAAAGGATAATAGCTTTATATAGATAATATAGAAAAGCATCCGGAGAATGAAAATATTTTGATCCGTTAAGATAAGATTTGGTTGCTAACGTACAATAAAGATAATTCTCAGTTTCCTTTGCAGCCTCATCATATCCTACTTTATATATTAAACGTATCGCACTCGCGCATACAGTTGGGTCAATACGATTTTCTCTTTCACCTCTGGGAGGGAAGTAAGTTTGAATAATTCCTTTTTCATTAGTATTTCGAAGGATTCTTTTGGCAATTGCTTCAATATCTTTTTGACCAAGGACTTCAATTCCAAACAAGGCTAATGCACAAAGAGCTGTAGCATCCACATCGTCTTGTATTATTCCTTTTTGTTTAAAGAAATTAAAACTTTCTAGATTGCATTCATCATCTACTAAAAATATTTGTAATGAATATAACAGTTTTGGATTTGTTTGGGTCTCGTTTAACAAATCAAGAATTATTGAAGATGAATAAATCTCTAAATGTTTGTTGGAAATGGAGTTCACAAGTTCACGTGACTTTCCTATTTGACTCTGAAAACCCGACATCAAACTGCATGTCCGTTCTAAATATTCAAACCCATTTTTAATTGAATTACTCTTATCCTCTAAAAGTCTTTTCTCTACTGCAGGCATTTTTTCTTGATTTATTGATAGAGAATTGTCTAATTCGATGAATGTTAATTGTTTATTATGAAAGCTAATATTTTCACAGTTAAAATTATCAAATATTTGTATGTGCCAGCGTACATTTGCATCCACGATAAATTCAAAAATTTTTATAAAAGTATTAAAATTATGATCATAGAAAAAATCAATACTTAGCATTGCGGTTGTTTTTCTAATTTCAATAATTAACTCATTTATTTTTTTCAATACGTTTTTAATTGATTCCTGTAAGAAATGCTCTTTGCATATTATAAGTACTAAATTATCTATTTGCTCATCATTGATTTTCTTTTTTAAGAATATAATATCGTTGACCAATGCTGTATGTAGGAAAGACTCGTAACAAAGTCGTTGATAAAGAGGATGTTTTCTAATTTGATTAGAGAGCGAAATACCTCGGATC